CATTTCTTTCCATTTTTGTCATTAAGCGGTACAATCTATTCTTGCTGCACACGTACGATGAATTATACACGGTATCTACGGTATCTATTCTTATTTTCAATATTCTGAAAAATGTCGGAATAACATTTGTCGAGTCACAAGCGAACGAATTTATCACACGTATAATCTGACGATACCATCCGGGAAGCTCGAAATGTTATTTCTTTGTCTATTTATTTATTTACAACAATCTTATTAAATTAATTACAAATTACTTTTATATATACAACAACGTTCTCGTTTGGTTCTCGTTTGGTCAAAAGATACGTACATAAATTTCATTTACAAACATTAATTAACATTTAACGCGAGTCGAGTGTTTAAAATCTACTTTTTATCTTTTGCTAATTTAGTTAGCTATTTAGCTAATTTATACATAGTCTGTATAATATTGCTTTGCTCACGCACAAAAGAAAATTCTAATACAATCCACGTCCACGATCCTATTTTATTTTATTTCATTTTATTTTATTTCGTTCCGTTTCATTTCAAGATTCATTTTCCACTTTTTGCCACCTTAATTTATTGATAGAATTTCACGCGACGTGAAAAAGTCTCAGAAAAATGCGAAACGGAAGCTAAATCTTTCTCGACAAGCTCTTGCTTTCGCTTCTCCACACGCGTAATCTTATCGTATTATATTATATAAAGTGTAAAAGAAATTTAGATTACGACGAGTTTAGATTTTGAATACACCGGTGGCTGGCTATTACTATTGCTTCTGCCTTTGTTCGTTTCCTTCGTATTATACATGGCAGCGAGGCGAATGAAATTTATCATTTTTTACAGATACTCGAAACTCGTCGAATCATTGTTCACCAAGTCGATATTCGCTCAACTATTCTTTAACGTTGTCTGTCTTACCATTGCAGGAGTCGAGGTAAATATTCTCGTTGCACGTATAAAACACCCGTGTTTGTCCACGTTCGATCATCATTTCCACCACAAATTGTCAATGTCACACGAATCGTCTTTGTTTTCGAGAGACAGTGAAAGGAAAAGTAGTAGTAGTAGTAGTAGTAGTAGTAGTAGTAGTAGTAGTAGTAGTA